ATAAAAATAGTTTATATCGTGTCGTTTGAAGGTTATTCTGCCACGTGGATGAGAGGTTGGATAAACCACTCCTGGGCATTCATTTGCTCACTACATCCCAGTAATAAATATAAATAAATATAGTATAATAATATATTATAAATCTAAAATAAATTGTCTATAATTATATGTAATTATTATATATTTATATTTAATACGTAATATATATTTATATTTATTATATATATTTAATATGTGGTATATATATTTATTATATGTAATTATATATAAATTAATATAATTTAATAAATATAATTTATATAATATGAATAGAGGTATATTTATAGGAAATATAATTTAATATGTGATATATATATTTATTATATGTAATTATATATAAATTAATATAATTTAATAAATATAATTTATATAATATGAATAGAGGTATATTTATAGGAAATATAATTTAATATGTGATATATATATTTATTATATGTAATTATAAATAAATTAACATAATTTAATATAATACAATTTATATAATATGAATAGAGGTATATTTATAGGAAATATAATTTAATATGTGATATATATATTTATTATATGTAATTATATATAAATTCATATAATATAATACAATTTATATAATATGAATATAAGTATATTTACAGGAAATATAATTTATTATGTAATATATATATTTATATTTATTATATGTAATTATATATAAATTCATATAATATAATACATTTTATATAATATGAATATAAGTATATTTATAGGAAATATAATTTTTATATAATACATTGTATACAATGTAAATATAAGTATATAAATATATATGAATATAAATATGAATATAAATATTTTATAATACAAATATATTTGTGTTTATATTTATATTACATAAAATTCATATTGTTGTCTTATATGTAAAATAAATATAAATAATATTGATGTAAATAAATATACTTATAAAAATAAAAATATATAAATATAAATATAAATATAAATATAAATATAAATATAAATATAAATATAAATATAAATATAAATATGCCCTTATTCCATGCCAGGGGAACATTCCCAGCCCGGAACAAAGCAGTGCTCCATAAAAGCACTGAATAGTTGGATAAATCATTCATGGGAATTCATTTGCTCATTATATCCCCATAATGAATATAAATATTTTATAATATGAATATATTTGTATTTATATTATATAAAATTCATATCGTGTGTCTTATATATAAAATAAATATAAATGTAAATGATATTAATGTAAATAAATATAAATATAAATACGTAAAAATATAAATATAAAGATATAAATAATACATAAATATAGATTTAAATATAAATATAAATGTAAATGTAAATATAAATATAAACATTTTATAAAATAAATATATTTGTATTTATATTTATATTATATGAAATTCATACGTGTGTCATATATAAAATAAATATAAATATAAATAATAGTAATGTAAATAAAAATAAAAATAAAACATATTAAAATATATGAATATAAACATATAAACATATAAACATATATAAACATATATAAATAAATATAAATATGACTACAAAAATAAATATAAATATAAATATAAATATAAATATAAATATAAATATAAATATAAATATAAATATAAATATAAATATAAATATAAATATAAATATAAATATAAATATAAATATAAATATAAATATAAATAAGAGATGCACTTATTCCATGCCAGGGGAACATTCCCAGCCCTGGCCAAAGCCGTGCTCCATAAAAGCGGATATTTCCTGCTCCCCCCATCCCAAACCGGGGGAGTCTCCTCCGTATTTCCCGTGTCCAACACAAGGAACCCAAAATCCCGGTGGCTCCTCCCGTCACCAACGTCATTAGTGACAATTAAAACCCTAATTAGAGCCAATAAATTGGGATTCCCGGGAATCTCGTAAACCCCGCCCCGATCCCGTCCCTTCCCGTGTCCCAGCGCCAAGAACCGGCTCCACCCACGCCCTGATCCCAGGTTTGGGAGGAATCTCCGGGATCTCCGACTCCCCCGGGCTCCTCACTCCTGTCGGGGGGTTGTAGGGATGGAAAAGTTCCCCCCCGGCCCCCCTTTTCTCTGGGATGAGCCCCCCCAGCTCCCTCGGGAATTCTCCCATCCCTTCCCGTGTCCCAGTGCCAAGAACCTGCTCCACCTGCACCCTGATCCCGGTTTTGGGTCGAATTTCCCGGATCTCCAACCCCCCCGGGCTCCTCACTCCTCCCAGGGGTTGTAGGGATGGAAAAGCTCCCCCTGAGCCCCCATTTCTCTGGGATGAGCCCCCCCAGCTCCCTCGGGAGTTCTCCCGTCCCTTCCCGTGTCCCAGTGTGAGGAACCCGTGCCCCCCGTGCCCTGATCCCGGCTTTGGGAGGAATCTCCCGGATCTCCAACCCCCCCGGGCTCCTCACTCCTGTCGGGGGGTTGTAGGGATGGAAAAGTTCCCCCCCGGCCCCCCTTTTCTCTGGGATGAGCCCCCCCAGCTCCCTCGGGAGTTCTCCCGTCCCTTCCTGTGTCCCAGTGCCAAGAACCGGCTCCACCTGCACCCTGATCCCGGCTTTGGGAGGAATCTCCCGGATCTCCAACCCCCCCAGGCTCCCCACTCCTGCCAGGGGTTGTAGGGATGGAAAAGCTCCCCCTGAGCCCCCATTTCTCTGGGATGAGGCCCCCCAGCTCCCTCCGGAGTTCTCCCGTCCCTTCCCGTGTCCCAGCGTGAGGAACCCGCACCCCCCGTGCCCTGATCCCGGCTTTGGGAGGAATCTCCCAGATCTCCAACTCCCTCAGGCTCCTCACTCCTGTCGGGGGGTTGTAGGGATGGAAAAGTTCCCCCCCAAGCCCCCATTTCTCTGGGATGAGGCCCCCCAGCTCCCTCCGGAGTTCTCCCGTCCCTTCCCGTGTCCCAGTGCCAAGAATCGGCTCCACCTGCACCCTGATCCCAGGTTTGGGAGGAATCTCCTCCAGGCTCCCCACTCCCATCAGGGATTGTAGGGATGGAAAAGGTCCCCCCGAGCCCCCTTTTCTCTGGGATGAGCCCCCCCAGCTCCCTCCGGAGTTCTCCAGCCCCTTTCCCGGCTCTGGACTCGCTCCGGCCGCTCCACGTCTTCCTCGGGGACCCCACAAGTGCCCCTGGATGGGATCCAGCGGCCGAGGGGAGCCCAACCCTCCCACCCGAGCGTGAGGCCCTTGAGCAATTCCCGTGAATTCCCTTTTTTCCTGAGCGCAGCAGATGGGAAAGATAAAAACCCTCCTGGCCCCTCTCCAGGAAAAACTCCGGCAGCTCATCAAAGGCCTGTGGGTTTGGGCTTGGGCTTCCCGGGTTTCAACACCCTGCAGGATCCTCCTCCTCCTCTGCCTCCCTCCAGAGGGTGTCCCAGGGATGTTCCAGGGCTGTTCCTGTCCTTGGAATCTTCAGTGGGATGAGGAAGAGGGAGATGACTTTGGAATCTTCACTGGGATGAGGAAGAGGGAGATGACTTTGGAATCTTCACTGGGATGACACCTCCCACCATCCCAGGGGGATCCAGCCTGGCCTTGGACACTCCCAGAGATCCAGGGGCAGCCACAGCTTCTCTGGGAAATCCATCCCAGGGCCTCCCCACCCTCCCAGCCAGGAATTCCTTCCCAAATCCCCCCTAAATCCCCCTTTCCCAGTGGAAGCCATTCCCTGTGTCTGTCCCTCCAGCCCTTGTCCCCAGTCCCTCTCCAGCTCTCCTGGAGCCCTTCAGGCCCTGGAAGGGGCTCCAAGCTCTCCCTGGATCCTTCCCTTCTCCAGGGGAACACCCCCAGCTCTCCCAGTCTCTCTCCATGGCAAAGGTTCTCCAGCCCTTGGAGCAGCTCCGTGGCCTCCTCTGGGCTCATTCCAGCAGCTCCACGTCCTCCCTGTGCTGGGAATCCCCCCTGGAGGCACCTCTGGATTTCGTGGCCAGGTCCCACCAACCTCCCACCCTCCAACACCCCCGAGTCCTTCTCCTCAAGTCTCTCCCTGTTCTTTCCCCCCCCAGCCCCGGGGTGTGTTTGGGATCACCCTGACCCCGTGTCCCCTCCCCCGGGGACCTTTGGGGTGACAAAACACTGGAACATCTTCATCTCTCTGCAGTTTATTGGGAATGAAAGAACTCGGGGGCGGGAAGCAGCAGGTCCACGGGACAGAAGGGGGGCGACAGAGCCCCTCACGTGCCAGGTGGGAAGGAGAGGAGGGAAAAGGATCCGTCAAACATTAAAGCTGCCAAATGACTCCACCGGGGGAAGGTGGACAACTCCAGAGACCCGTTTCTCACTCCTCGAACTGACCGTGGAGCTTCGGCCCCTCCCTCCTGCTCGGGTGGGGTCCTGGCAGGGCTGAAATGGGTGGTGGGACACCGGGGGGGGGGGGACACGGACCTTCCAAAGGGACAGGAAAGAGCAGTTGGACACGGATTCCTCCTCAGCCAGAGCGGCAGCCCCGGGGCGGCAGCGAGGGGGGAGCTCTGAGTGCCCAGGGAGATGTTTCACCCCTGGGGGGGCTCAGCGAGGGGCCAGCAGGGCGGGGTCTCACTCAAACCTCATTTAGGGATGATTTTCCCTGGGAACGGGTTGTTTCCTGCTGGATTTGGGAGGGAGGGGGAGCTCTGGGTCCCGGGTACCCACCGGGAGATGTTTCACCCCTGGGGGGGCTCAGCGAGGGCTCAGACCGGGCCGGTAGGGCGGAGTCTCACTGCAAACCTCATTTAGGGGTGATTTTCCCTGGGAACGGGTCGTTTCCTGCTGGATTTGGGCAGGACAGGGAGCTCTGAGTCCCGGGTACCCGAAGGGAGATGTTTCACCCCTGGGGGGGGCTCAGCGAGGGGCCAGCAGGGCGGGGTCTCACTCCAACCTCATTTAGGGACGATTTTCCCTGGGAACGGGTCGTTTCCTGCTGGATCGGGGCGGGAGGGGCTGCGCTGCCGGGGGAAGGAAGGGGAAGGAGCTGCTTTCCTTGGGAGGGCCCGGGGGGGGGGCTCAGTACTTGACCCCCGAGGACTTGACCGTGGTGGTGGTGACACATCTGCGCACCGAGGACGAGCCGCCCCCGGCCACGAAGTTTCCGGCCGAGGAGCTGCACACCCTCCCGCTGCCGGAGGAGAAGCCCCCGCTCAGGATCCCCCCTCCCACCCCGCAGCCGCCCCCGACGACGCTTCCTCCTCCTCCGACCACGCACACTCCTCCTCCCGCCAGCCCGTTGCTGGCCCCGAAGCCGCCGGCCCGGCCCCCGCACACGGTGGTCCTGCCCACCACGGCTGCAAGAGAGAGGGGGAGACCGGTTGAACATCCTCGAACATCCCGGGAATCCTCAAAAAAAAACCCCCACCACCCCAGGATAAAGGTAATTCCCGAGAGAAAAGGATGGAAAAAATACTCACAGACATTCACGTTGGACGGGTTGTCTCCGCAGAGCCTGTGAAGGGAGAGGAGCACCGGGTGAGCCTGAGACAAGTGAGCCCCAAACTCCACAAAATCCCCCCGATATTCCCTGTTTATCCCGTTTCATTTAAGATCAGTCAAACCCACGGAGGGACATTCCACCGCGGGACCACGCTTCCGTTTGGGGCTTCAGAATTTGGAGTTAGAAAAAGGGAGGGAAGTCAGATTTCAGCATCGAACACGCTGTGAGAGGTGATGAGAGGTTAATTCGACCCAAGGAGGGGCAGGAGCTCGATCAGGGCGAGGCTGGGAGGTCTCACCTGTTCTCCTCCCCCTCCAGCAGCTTCCTGTACATGGCGATCTCCACGTCCAGCGCGATCTTGATGTTCAGCAGCTCCTGGTACTCCTTCAGCAGCCGGGCCAGCTCCTCCTTGTCCTTGCTCAGGGCACATTCCAGCTCCTCCAGCTTCCTGCGGGCGTCCTTGAGGGCCAGCTCGCCCCTCTCCTCGGCCTCGGCGATGGCCGACTGCAGGTGGTGGTTCTGCGGGAAGGAAACGTTTCTCGTTCCTGGAGAATCCTCGGGGATTCACTGGGGGGAGAACAGGCAGGAACCACCCCAGGAGGCACCAACCAGCCCTTTACCTGCTTCTTCACATTCTCGATCTCCGTCCTCAGCCTCTGCACGTTCCTGGTCAGCTCCTGGATCTCGATCTTGGTGTTCCGCAGGTTGTCCCCGTGGCGCCCGGCCGTGCTCTGCAGCTCCTCGTACTGGTGGCACGAGGGGACAAAGGGACCCGTCAGTGACACAACCGACCCAGGGCTCGGGTGGTTGGGACAGCAGGGACTGTCCCAGGGGCCTCAACTCCCTCCCAGGAGCTCACCCTGCTCTGGTACCAGGCCTCGGCCTCGGCGCGGCTGCTCTGGGCGATCTGCTCGTACTGGCGCCGCACCTCCTCGATGATGCTGTCCAGGTCCAGGTGCCGGTTGTTGTCCATGGACACCACCACGGACAGGTCCCGGCTGATGGTCTGCATCTGGGCCAGCTCCTGTGACCAAGAGAGGCAGCACAGCTCAGCCTCGAGCCTAAATCCACCCGGACACCCGGCCCGGCCTCGGTGTCCTCGGCCACCACACCCTCATTAAAGCTTCGCCCAGGGGAAGGGAGAGCTCCTAGAGAGAGCTCCTAGAGAGAGCTCCTACCTCCTCATAGATGCACCTCAGGAAGTTGATCTCGTCCGTCAGAGCTCCCACCTTGGCCTCCAGCTCCACCTTGGTCATGTAGGCACAGTCCACGTCCTACAGGAGAGATCCCACCGATGACCAACCCCTTCCTCTAATCCCGCAGGAGCTGCCGGCTCTTCCCAGTGCCGAGTCCTTGCAGTGTTTGTGCACCCTGTCCCGTCCCCCCCGGGCCCCCCGGTGCCTCCGCACTCACCTTCTTTAGCACCACGAACTCGTTCTCGGCCGCCGTGCGCCGGTTGATCTCCTCCTCGTACCTGGGGGGCACAGGGCAGGGTGGCACCTCGGGCCCCTCGTCCCTCACCCAGTGGGACCCCCCTTCTCTCCAGGGCACCCTCAGCCCTGTCCCTGCCCGTGGGGTGTCCCGGGTGGTCCCTCCCCGTCCCCCCGGGCACTCACTTGCACTTGTACTCCTCCACGTACTGCCGCATGCTCTGCAGCTCCGACTCCAGCTGCCCCCGCTGCCCCAGCAGGTTCTCCAGCTGCCTCCTCAGGTTCTGGATGTAGTTCTCAAAGATCACATCCAGGTTCTTCCTCGGCCCCACCGGCCCCTGCTGCTGCAGCAGCTCCCACTTGGTGGAGAGGACCTTGTTCTGCTGCTCCAGGAACCGGACCTGAACCCAACAGGGGGGTGTGAGACATTCCCGAGGGAACATCCCGCTGCCCAAACCTCCTGGGAGCTCTGGGGGTCCAAGGGAATCACTCCCCGAATCCCCAACAGGACATGGCTTCCAAGAGCAAAATTCCTCCCTTCTTTCTCCTTTTTTTTTTTTTCCATTTTCCTTAAATTCTCCCATTGTTCTCCTCCTACATTTCCACTCTCTTTTTTCTACAATTAATATTATTAATTTTTTTTACCTATTGGAATGATTCCATTCCAATTTTACAAACTATTTTTATTTCCAGTTGGGAATGTTGCCCCACGTTATTTTTTAGGGGCCTCAGATCATTTTCCACCTCCCAGTGAACGAAATCCCATTGGTCTCCATTTCCGACAACATTCCTCTCATCAGTCAATTCCAATTTCCTAATTCCAGTTCCAAATTCCAATTTATGGAAATTATTCCCTAAATAAGTCACATATTTAAAAAAACCCCATGGAGCACGTTCATACCCAACATTCTCCCATTCAGACAATTTAGAGAGAACTCGTCTGCACTTGAGCTGAAATGAGGAATTGCCGGGATTTACTTGGAAGCTCATTCCTGGATTTTAAGTTCCTTGAAATAAACTTATCCCTGAGAAAGCACAGACTTAAGGGAACAGGGGATAAGGGAGTGCATCCTGATCCCTTTGACCTGGCTGCCCAGAGGGCACCGGAGACAAAACCAAGGGAGAACTTGGATCAGCCTTTGGGATCCACAAATATCCCTCGGTTTCTCCGCGGACACAACATTTTGACATTTCCTCGGGAGGACCCGAGGGAAACTCTCCCTGCCCAACACCAACTCGAGGAGGACAACATTCCTCTCTCCACAGAATTCCCCCAGAATTCCCCCATCCCGAAGCAGACCCGCTCACCTTGTCGATGAAGGAGGCGAACTGGTTGTTGAGGGTCTTGATCTGCTCCTTCTCCTGGCACTTCACCTGCTGGATCTGGGGGTCGATGTCCACGTGGACGGGCCGGAGCAGGGTGGGATCCACCTGCACGGGCTGGATCCCCCCGGGGAACCCGGGGCCGCCCCGGACGGGCCCCACAAAGCCGCCAATTCCTCCTCCAACGACCCCTCCTGGGATTCCACCGAATCCTCCCACGAATCCTCCGCTGAATCCCGGGATCCTACATCCGTAGGAGCCTCCCACGGACATCCTGGCGCTGCCCCCCAGGTTGTGGAGGCTCCGGCTGCTGAAGCCCCCGCAGCGTCCCCCTCCTCCGACCCCCCTGGATGTGGAGAAGGAGCTGTAGCTGATCCGGCTCCGGCCGCCGCTGCCCCCGAACCCGCCGCCCACGGCAGAGCAGGAGCTGAATCCCTTCCTGCTGCCCATCCCGAAGCTCCTGCACACGGACTGACGGGACATCCCAGTGCTCCACAGAGCCAGAGGCGCGGAGGACGAGGAGATCGGCGGAGCTGGGCTGGTGCCGAGGGCAGAGAGAAGTGCTCGGAGTCTTCTCTGGCTCCCCGGCTCGGGGCATTCCCTTTTATCCGCTGCTGGGGGTGGGCCGGGGCGGCTTGGGCGTGAAGAGGAAACACATTTACTGTCTCCATCAGCTCCGTGCGGTTGCCAGGCTTTTGCCAAACCGGCGACTCCACCCAGAAATCCTCCTGGCCGTGCAGAAGGGGATGGGGAGGCAGGAGCAGGTTCTCCCTGGATAAGTGGACTCCCGTATCTCTCCGGCATCTAAAAAAATATGTTTTACAGCGATGGTGTCATGTTCTTCCCTCCTCCTCCTCCCACCTCCCTCCCTGCTCCAAACGACTCCGCGCGTCGCCTGACTCGGGGTTTTTTCTCCTGACGCCCCACGCCGGGCAGGATTTTGGTGAAACCCGGCTGGGATGAGGCTCTCATTTCACAATCCCCCCCTCCACACCCCTCACGCACACCCCGAATCTCCTTCCCAAGCGGAAAATTCCCGCTGGCTCTCCGAGGGGGAAAAGCGCCGCGTAAGGAACATTTGTCGGCCGTCAGCGTTTCTGTCCCGCCCGGGAAGGAGCCGTTTGGTCCCTTCCCCAGAGCCTCGGGGGGAGGCCTTCCCTGCAGAATGTGTCCCCTGGGGTTTGGGACGAGCAGGGCCCGGGATTCCGAGCACCGGAGGGGGATGAGCAAGAGAACAAGGATGTCCAGCTCCTTCCTCGTGCTTTTCCAGTGGCCACAGGGACCGTGGAGCCCGGGGAGGACGGAAAGGACGCTCGGGGCAGTCGCTGTGCTAATGAGGACTGACAGGAACGTTTAATTTCGTGCACCGGCTGCCTGGTGACGGAGTTGGAAGCTCACCCGAAGGACATCCTGCAGGTGCCTCCAGGGGGGTCATTCATCAACTAAATATTTTAGGTAAATTTATGGAATTTAGGGGGAAAAACCCCACAATATTTCCACCATTCTTATTTTCTGAAAACCATCAATAAAAGTCAATTCCGTGTTTTCAGGCATTTCAGCAGTCCAGGGATATCCCGGATTTCACCTTCCCGAGGGGAACATGTGCCTGTGCCGGAGTTTTGACACTCACACCTGAGATTTGGGCAGGTAAATGTGGTTTGAAGGTATCCCCAGGAATCCGCCGGCGGCCACAGACTCTGCAAACCCTTCGGAAAACCAGCCCAGGGAACCGCTTCCAAAAGCCACTGGGGGAATGAGAAACGTGGATGTTGACAGCTGGAAGTGGGATGGGGCTGCTGGACCCTCGGGCTGGGCAGAACGGGGGGAGGGGGAAGGTTACCCTGGAGGGGGATTCAACTGCTGGTCGAGAGTTATCCCACCCCTGAGGGACCCTAAAAACACCTGGCCAAGGGTTATCCCACCCCTGAGGGACTCAGAACCACTTGGTTGAGGGTTATCCCACCCCTGAGGGACCCTAAAAACACCTGCCCAAGGGTTATCCCCCCCCGAGGGACTCAAAGACACTTGGCCAAGGGTTATCCCACCCCTGAGGGACTCTAAAAACACTTGGTCAAGGTTATCCCACCCTTAAGGGACCCTAAAACCACTTGGTTGAGGGTTATCCCACCCCTGAGGGACTCTAAAAACACTTGGCCAACGGTTATCCCACCCTTAAGGGACCCTAAAACCACTTGGTCGAGGGTTATCCCACCCCTGAGGGACTGAAAGACACTTGGCCAAGGTTATCCCACCCTTGAGGGACTCAAAACCACTTGGTCAAGGGTCATCCCACCCTTGAGGGACTCAAAACCACTTGGCTGAGGGTTATCCCACCCCTGAGGGACTCAAAGACATTTGGCCAAGGTTATCCCACCCTTGAGGGGCTCAGAACCACTTGGCCGAGGGTCATCCCACCCTTGAGGGACTCAGGTCATGGTTGGCCAAGGGTCATCCCACCCTTGAGGGGGACTCAACACGTGGCCAAAGGTCATCCCACCCCCATGGCCTCAGGGGTTGCCAAGGGTTCTCCAGATGTGTGTCCCTGCAGCTGGAGAAGGGGCAGCACCCCCACAGCAGGGAGGGGACACCCTCCCTTCCCAAAGGAGCCTCAATTGAGGAGTCTGAGTTCAGAGGGCCTCGTTTCTCCACTGTCACATCCCAGGTGGAGATTTGAGTTCCCCGGATCATCCTGCAGCCCAGAGCAGCCCCGGGGAGGTGCAGGATGGCTCTGGTTTAGCTGGAGGAAACAGGTCATCCCTTCTCCCGGGCTCCCGATTTCCAAAGGGCACCCGCCTTCCTCGGGAGGCACCGGGAGTCGCCTGGGACGTCCCACGTGGCGGCTCCATGAAGAGAGGGGGCCGATGTGCCGCGTCAGCCGCATGCCTGGGTGCTGACCATGCTCAGCGCCCGCAGATCAGACGCCCCAGATTGAGTCACTCTGACGTCTCCAGACGAGATGTGCAGATTATCCCCGACCTGGAGTCGGGCTCAGCCTCCTCCGGGTAGAACCCGACCGGCAGCCCCGGCTCCGGCTCCGGCCGAGCCCTCGGAGCTCTTGCGCAAGGAGCTGCGGCAGCAGAATCCCAGGCACCGGGGAAAGTGTGAACTCGGCAGAAAAACGTGGATGGAGGACGAGCCGGGCCCCGGCTCCGCCAGGGAGGTGTTGCAAGGGCTCCCCAGAGCAGCCCCAACGCCGCGTAAAGTTGGCTGTAAAGCTTGGAAGAAACGCGCTCTTTAAAATTAGGCACCAGAGCAGGTGATTAAGCACCAAAACAGGTGATTAAGCACCGAAACAGGTGACTCCTGCCCCAAGCCAAACACCAAAGTGCTCCTGGCTCAGCTCCAGCTTCTCACAGGCATTGCCTGCTCAGCATCTTTGCTTGGGTTGAACCCAGTGACGTTCCTGAGCTCCAGAGCCCTTCAAAGGGGGGGGATTCCCTCTTCCAAGAGCCCACTGCCTGTCCCGGACCTCTCCCTCGGTCTGCAGCTTCCTGACCCGCTCTGGGGACACCGGCAGCTCCCGGGGGCTGTTGTGGGACTCCCGATCCACCCCGACAGCGTTTTCTGCCTCTTTGATCTCTCCCTGTGGCGGAGGAACCACAGCACAGCTCAGATCAAACACACCAACACTCCCCTCCCAAAGCCCCTGTGGAGCTGCTCCAAATCTCTGCCTCCTGCTCCGGGAGGGAGGAAGAGCCACTGGGGGAGTTCCTCGGCTTTCCCGGGAGCTGATGGGGCCTGGGCTCCGGGTTTTGGGATGAATCACCCCTTCCCAGCCCGCCGCGTTCCCACGGCCGGAATCGGGGCTGGCTCGTGGCTCTCCGGCATTCCTGATGCTCACATCCCACCCGGCCACAGCCCAGGTGTGCTCCAGAGTGTGCTGGGCCGACGTCCTTATCCCTGTTCCCCTCCCACGGGGCTGCTGTGCTGCCCAAAGTCCACTCCGGGGCAGGAAACTCAGATGAGCCGACAACAGACTGATCCCGCGGCTGCTCCCACCTCCCGCGGCCGATTCCCACCAGCCCGCAGCTCGTCGGGTCTCCGCTGGTTTGGCCACGAGGCACTGGGAGTGTCCCCGCCCAGACCCCGGGACTTGCTCTCGGGGGTTTCAGCAGAGCCTCCCAAAAATCACAAATCTGAGGGAGGTCGGGAAAATCCCTTTCCCGGAGCTCCGGGGACGGGGGTGTTGCCAAGTCTGGTGAGATGGGACGTGGGCAGTGAAGCCCCTCGGTGGGTCTCGAGGCAGAGCCCTAAAACCTGGACTGGGGCAGCCTGGACCCCCACAAGGGCTGGGAAGGTGCTGGACCCCCCTGTGCTGGAGGTTTCCAGGCCCAACAGTTGCAGTGGAAACAACTCCACAGCGTTCCAAGGGCGAGCTGGGTGGTTCCCTAAATCAGGAGACGCCCCAGAATCGAGCAGCCTCCTGGATTCCTCCAGTTCGGGCTCCTGCTGTCCCCGAGCGTTGTGTGAGCGGAGCGTTCAGCCCCCCCAGCTCGGGTGTGCGGCTCCAGGGAGAGCCAAGAGGCATCACCCGAGCTCGGGCACTGCCCCGCTCCATCCCCGACCGCTGGAGTTCCCTCAGAGCACAATCACAACACGTCGGGCAGCAGAACGACCCCCAAATCCCCACCCCGCTCCTTCCCCGCCCTGGGGCAGCTCCCGAAGCAGCGACACAAGGAGCCGGTGAATGTTCTCTGCAGTTTATTGGGAACGGCAACATCCCGGGGGAGGAGGGCGGGACACGCGCGGAGGGTGGGCCACAGGCACGGGACAGAGCGGGGAGGAGGAGTTTTATACAGGTTTGCCACGAGAAATGTCCAACCCGGCGAGGGGGGGCAGCTCCCCGTGCCGGGACCCCGCCGGCATCGCCCCCAGACCCCGCGCGGCACCGGGAGCGGGGCCGGGCCGGGCGGGGGGGACGCGGCTCGTCCCGCGGCGGGGCGGCCGAGCTGGGGGTCGGGGGGCTGGGGCTGCTGCCGGCGGGACGGAGGAGCTGCTGCTCGGCGGGGCTCAGAACCGCACCCCCGAGGACTTCACCGAGGTGGTGGTGACGCATCTCCGCACCGAGGACGAGCCCCCGCCGGAGCCGCAAATCCTCCCGCTGCCGGAGGAGAAGCCCCCGCCGTACACCCCTCCGCCCAGCCCGCAGCTGCCGCCTCCGAAGCCGCTTCCTCCTCCTCCTCCGCCGCACATCCCTCCTGCCATCCCTCCTCCCATCCCGCCGCCGCCGAATCCTCCCCCCATCCCGCAGCTGCCGCCGCCGAATCCTCCTCCCATCCCGCCGCCTCTGCCTCCGGAGATGCTGCTCCTGCCGACCACGGCTGGAAGAGGAGCAGAAGGGCGGGTTACTCACTTTTACCCACCTGCGCTCCCAAAGGAACCCGTTCCGGGCCTCCCCAGGGCCCCCCGGCTCAGACACTCACACACGTTGACGTTGGACGAGCTGTCGTTGCAGAGCCTGCGAGGGAAAACAGGAGCGGTGAATCCCCCGGGAAGCGCCCGCTCCTTCAGCCGGGAATTTCCCTTTCCCTACGTGTTTATATTCCCTTTTTTTTTCTTTCAGAATTTCCCAGTTATTCTTTAAAAAAATGAGCAACCGATTCCCTACTTTTCCAGAATTTCCCAGTTATTATTATTTTTTTAAAGATATTTATTCCTTATTTTTTTTTCAAAGTTTTCTAATTATTCTATGAAGAAATGAGCAACCAATTTCCTATTTTTTTCGGAGCTTCCCAATTGCTCTTTAAAGAAATGAACGACTTATTCCCTATTTTTCAGAGTTTCCCAATTATCCTTTAAAGAAATGACCAACCTATTCCCTGTTTTTTCAGAGTTTCCCAGTTATTCTTTAAAAAAATGAACCACCTACTCCCTACTTTTTTAGGATTTTCCTGGTTATTCTATAAAGAACTGAGCAGTCGATTTCCTATTTTTTTTTCAGACTTTCCCAGTTATTCTTTAAAAAAAAAAAAAAGAGCAACCTCGAACCTCACATTTTTACGAGATGGAAAACAAACTTCATAAAATTAACGAAATTAATTTATGATTAACACGCTTAATTTATACTTGCTAATTAGAGCACACGTGACGCTGAGCCGACCTTTAGCGTGCACTCAATGATTTTACCCGCACGTGGCGTCACTAATTTAGTCAAATAAATGCAAATGAGGCGAGGTACCTGTTCTCCTCCCCCTCCAGCAGCTTCCTGTACATGGCGATCTCCACGTCCAGCGCGATCTTCACGTTCAGCATCTCCTGGTACTCCTTCAGCAGCCGGGCCAGCTCCTCCTTGTCCTTGCTCAGGGCACATTCCAGCTCCTCCAGCTTCCTGCGGGCGTCCTTGAGGGCCAGCTCGCCCCTCTCCTCGGCCTCGGCAATGGCCGACTGGAGTTGCTGGTTCTGGGGGGGAGAAAACCAGTTTGTGAGGTCCCTTCTGGCCGGGAGGTCTGTTCTGAGCAGCCTCAGGGCACGAACCCGAGGGCAAACAGGCAGGATCCATCCATCTCATCTCCATCCATCTCCATCCATCTCCGTCCATCTCCTCCGGAGCACCTGAATTTCCACGACCGCCTTTCCCCCACCCCGCCCAGCTCAGCTCTGACCCAGCGCGGGGCCGTCACTGGGGAGGTGCTGAGGGTCCTGTACCTGCTCCTGCCCTTCTCAATCTCACCCCTGAGACACCAACCAACCTCTTACCTGCTCCTGCCCTTCTCAGACTCATCCCTGAGGCACCAACCAACCTCTTACCTGCTCCTGCCCTTCTCAATCTCATCCCTGAGGCACGAACCAACCCCATGAGCTGCTGAGGGTCCTGTACCTGCTCCTCACCTTCTCAGACTCATCCCTGAGGCACCAACCAACCCTGGGAGCTGCTGAGGGTCGTTTACCTGCTTCTTCACGTTCTCAAGCTCCGCCCGCAGCCTCTGCACGTTCCTGGACAGCTCCTGGATCTCGATCTTGGTGTTCCGCAGGTTGTCCCCATGTTTCCCAGCGGTGTTCTGGAGCTCCTCGTACTGGTGGTACGGGGACAAAGGGACCCATCAGGGACTGAACTGACCCAGGGCTTGGGTGGTTGGGACAGCAGGGACTGTCCCAGGGGCCTCAACTCCCTCCCAGGAGCTCACCCTGCTCTGGTACCAGGCCTCGGCCTCGGCGCGGCTGCTCTGGGCGATCTGCTCGTACTGGCGCCGCACCTCCTCGATGATGCTGTCCAGGTCCAGGTGCCGGTTGTTGTCCATGGACACCACCACGGACAGGTCCCGGCTGATGGTCTGCATCTGGGCCAGCTCCTGCGGACAACCCGCGGCTCAGAGGGAGCAGGGAAGAGCAGCGGCTCTGGGGCAGCGTCTCCACACCAACCCCACGTGGACACCCAGCCCAGCCTCGGTGTCCTCGGCCACCACACCCTCATTAAAGCTTCGCCCAGGGGAAGGGAGAGCTCCTAGAGAGAGCTCCTAGAGAGAGCTCCTACCTCCTCGTAGATGCACCTCAGGAAGTTGATCTCGTCCGTCAGAGCTCCCACCTTGGCCTCCAGCTCCACCTTGGTCATGTAGGCACAGTCCACGTCCTACAGGAGAGATCCCACCGATGACCAACACCTTGCTCCCATCCTGGGAAGCTGGTGACACCCCAAGGTTCTGGTGGCACCCCAGGGAGCTGCTGGCCAATGCCTCCTGTCCCTCCCGGTGCCTCTGCACTCACCTTCTTCAGCACCACGAACTCGTTCTCGGCCGCCGTGCGCCGGTTGATCTCCTCCTCGTACCTGGGGGGCACAGGGCAGGGTGGCACCTCGGGCCCCTCATCCCTCACCCCGGGGGGGTCTCTGGGCTGTCCCAGCTCCCCGGGTGGTCCCTCCCCGTCCCCCCGGGCACTCACTTGCTCTTGTACTCCTCCACGTACTGCCGCATGCTCTGCAGCTCCGACTCCAGCTGCCCCCGCTGCCCCAGCAGGTTCTCCAGCCGCCTCCTCAGGTTCTGGATGTAGTTCTCAAAGATCGCATCCAGGTTCTTCCTCGGCCCCACCGGCCCCTGCTGCTGCAGCAGCTCCCACTTGGTGGAGAGGACCTTGTTCTGCTGCTCCAGGAACCGGACCTGAACCCAACAGGGGGGTGTGAGACATTCCCGAGGGAACATCCCACTGCTGGGCGCTTTGGGAGCCCCAGGGAGTCATTCCCTGAACCTCCAGCTGTGGCTCATTCAGGCACCCGAGCTCCTCAAGTGCATGAGGAGCGTTATTAAATTTATTAGTCATTAAATAATTAAATTTTGAGTCATTCTGAACTTCTCCCTTTGGGACACAGAGATGTTGGCAGAGGAAACATCATCCCGGTTTTCCAGCAGGGTCGGGCTTTGCCATCAACTTTCCAGTAGTGAGGCCAAGAGGTTTTTTATTCCCTAACTGCCCATAAATTCTCTCAGGAGGGATTTGCTATTCCTTCGGTTTCTATTTGAGATGGAATCGATCCCAGAGTGTCCGAGAGGTGTTTAATGCTCTGAAGTCCCCGGAATCAGGTTTTGAGGAGAAAGTCTCGCTCAAAGCAAATCCCAGCAAGGAGAACTCTCAGGACAATTCAATTTACGGCGATGACTTTGCCCTGAATCACCCAAAACGAGACCGTGGAGCTGACTTGGCACGAGGAGCCCCAGGAGGTCCTGCAGGTGTTCTCTTTAATCTTCCATTAGCACAAAACCTCGTCTATTGTTCGGTGCTGCTCATTAAAACCCGGGTAATTACACCTTGCTGCCGAGGCGCCGCTCTGAGAACTCCAGTGCTTGTTGGGAAGCGAAAAAACCCCCGTTCCACACCCCGGGGAAGCTGCTCGAGATGCCTCCTCCAAAAAAAACACCTGCTCTACAGTCTCACCTTGTCGATGAAGGAGGCGAACTGGTTGTTCAGGGTCTTGATCTGCTCCTTCTCGTGGGTTTTCACCTGCTGGATCTGGGGGTCGATCTCCACGTGGACGGGCCGGAGCAGGCTGGGGTCGACTTGCACGGGCTGGATCCCGGGGCCGGGGAACCCGGGGCCGCCAAAGCCGCCCATTCCCCCTCCTCCCATCCCGCCACCAAAGCCCCCCATCCCTCCAGCGCCGCCCACGCCGCCACCAAAGCCCCCCATTCCCATTCCCATCCCTCCACAGCTCATCCCGCCGCCGAAGCCGCCCATCCTGCCGCCGTAGCCGCCCCCGTAACAGCCCCCCATGGCCACCCTCCTGCTGCCCCCCACGCCGTGCAGGCTCCTGCTGCTGAAGCCCCCGCACCCTCCTCCTCCTCCTCCTCCTCCTCCCCGCGACGAGGAGTAGGAGCTGTAGCTGATCCTGCTCCGGCCGCCGCCGCCACCCCCAAATCCTCCTCCGACGGCGGAGCAGGAGCTGAACCCTTTCCTGCCTCCGACCCCAAAGCACACGGACTGACGAGACATGGCCGGCTTTTCCCGAGGGGAATCCAAATCCAGAGGAGCACAAAGAGCAGCGGAGCTGGTGTGGGCAGACAGAAGTGCTCGGAGTCTCCTCTGGCTCCAGCGGCTCCGGGCATTCCCTTTTATCCGCTGCTGGAGGTGGGCCGGGACGGCTTGGGCGTGATGGTGGAAAGCAATTTGGGATTTTCATCAGCACGGGGTTGTTGACAGATTCTCCGTGAGCTTTTACCATATTTGGGGCTGCCCAGAAACACGCCCTGTAATCGAGAGGTGAATAAACCCAGAGCATCCAGGCAGGTCTCCATGACTAAGTGGGCTCCCGTATCTTTATGACATCTTGGAAAGCCACTTTGTCCATAATCCCTATTTTTGCAGCCCCTCATTGGATTTCCAGCTGTCATGAGTGACTCCCAATAACTCCAGATAAAGATCTCCCCATCAAAGTGCCACGGAAAGGCGAAGTTTTGATGAAATCCAAACCATATTATGGCTTTCACAACCGCTCCAACACACCCTAAATCCGCTTTTTATATGTTAAATTGCCTTTGGCGTTTCGGGAGAGACGTTTCCCAATCCAGAACGGGAACTCACGGCACCGAAATTTGAGGAGACTCAGCAGATTCTCCTGCTGGGGGGGAAGAACCTCTCCCCGGAGCGGGTGGTGTCACCGCGGTGGGAGTGTCCTCCACCCCGGGATTAAAGTCCCTCCACCTGCATCTTCCCAAATCCGGGACAACCCACCGGGGCTCCGGAGGATGCTGGAGTGGAGGGAAGGGAGTGACTGGGATCATCCCACCCCTCTCGGTGTTCTGAGGGTCACAGGGAATCGCAACCCCGGGAAGGACCGAGGGACACGTCGGGGACCCTTCGGTGACGGCGTCGGGGACAGACGGACACACACAGTGGGAGAGGAAGGACAGACGGACAGCTCGAGGTGCTGAGGGGCTCCTGCTGCTCTGGGGAATTCCACGACCTCTGATTTACCAGGTTTTTTCCCAAAAAGTGAGACGACTGACACGGAAAAACCCTCTGAGAGCCGGAGCCGCCACAACCCCCGAGGCACAGTAGGAACCTCTCACTTCCAAACATTTTGAGGGGTAGGGAATGAGCTCGAGAAATGTGTTTTGTGGGATGCCTCTGAAATAAAGAAACCCTTTTTTTGTTTTTTTGAGTCGCATGTCAATGTATTTTTAATTAATTAATTAGTTAATTTAGAAAATGCACAATGATTCCGGTGGGCAGCGTTCCAAACCAAAGTGGATTCTGTGTGCTAATTCGAAGGAAAATGAGCCTGTAAATATGATTTAAGGGACATTCTGAAGGTTTTATCTGTCTGAATGTCACCAATTGAACACGTGGTTAATTTAATGGATTAAACAGACAATGCATTTGCATATTTTCCTAGAAAACAGTCAGGAAAAATGACAGAACATACACATTGGGTTTAAGACAGAAATTCAGGGCCACTCAAAAGATCTTGAATGAACAGGGACCTTCAGAAGGGATTTTCAGAGCATTCGAGGAGATTTTGGAAACTCCACATGGTTTGGAAGTGTCATGAGGCATCAGAGACAGGAATGTCCCTGTTTGTCACTGGGATGGGGGTTCTGGGCAGAACAGGGAGCAGGGGAGGGGAGGACGTTACCCTGGAGGGGGATTCAGCTGCTGGCCAGGGGTTATCCCAGCCCTGAGGGACTCAGAACCACTTGGCCAAGGGTTATCCCAGCTCTGAGGGATTCAAAACCACTTGGCCCCTTGAGGGACTCAGCCAAGGGTTGGCCAGGGGTTATCCCAGCCTTGGGAGACTCAGGTAATGACGGACTGAGGGTTATCCCACCCTTGAGTGACTCAAAAATGCCTTGGCCAAAGGTTGTCCCACCCCTGAGGGACTCAGGTTTGACTTGGCCAACGGTTATCCCGCCCTGGAGGGACTCAGCGGTTGGCCAAGGGTCCTCCCACCCTGGAGGGACTCGAGTCCCCGTTGGCCAAGGGTTCTCCCACTCCTGAGGAACTCAAAAACCACTTGGCCAAAGGTTACTCCACCCTTGAGGGACTCAGGTCATGACTGACCAAGGCTTTTCCCACCCTTGAGGGGGATCCAGTGGTTGGCCAAAGGTCATCTCACCTCTGAGAGGGTTGGCCAAGGGTTATCCAACCCTTGAGGGACTCAAAAAACACTTGGCCGAGGGTCATCCCACCCCGATGGACTCAATGGTTGGCCAAGGGTCATCCCACCCCTGAGCGACTCAAGTCCTGGTTGGACAAGGGTCATCCCACCCTTGAGGGGGATTCCATGGCTGGCCAAGGGTTATCCCACCCTTGAGGGGGATTCCATGGCTGGCCAAGGGTCATCCCACCCTTGAGGGGGATTCCATGGCTGACCAAGGGTTATCCCACCCTTGAGGGGGATTCCATGGCTGGTCAAGGGTTATCCCACCCTTGAGGGGGATTCCATGGCTGGTCAAGGGTTATCCCACCCTTGAGGGGGATTCCATGGCTGGCCAAGGGTTATCCCACCCTTGAGGGGGATTCCATGGCTGGTCAAGGGTTATCCCACCCCTGAGCACTCAATAGTTGGCCAAGGATCATCTCTCTCCTGAGGGTTGGCCAAGGGTCGTCCCACCACTGAACACTCAATGGTTGTCCAAGGGTCATCCCACCACTGAACACTCAATGGTTGGCCAAGGGTCGTCCCACCACTGAACACTCAATGGTTGTCCAAGGGTCATCCCACCCCAATGGACTCAATGGTTGGCCAAGGGTCATCCCACCCCAATGGACTCAATGGTTGGCCAAGGGCCATCCCACCACTGAACACTCGATGGTTGGCCAAGGGTCATCCCACCACTGAACACTCAATGGTTGGCCAAGGGCCATCCCACCCCAATGGACTCAATGGTTGGCCAAGGGCCATCCCACCACTGAACACTCAATGGTTGGCCAAGGGTCATCCCACCCCAATGGACTCAATGGTTGGCCAAGGGCCATCCCACCACTGAACACTTGATGGTTGGCCAAGGGTCATCCCACCCCAATGGACTCAATGGTTGGCCAAGGGTCATCCCACCCCAATGGACTCAATGGTTGGCCAAGGGCCATCCCACCACTGAACACTCGATGGTTGGCCAAGGGTCATCCCACCACTGAACACTCAGTGGTTGGCCAAGGGTCATCCCACCCTGGTGAACTCAACTGTTGGCCAAGGGTTCTCCAGATGTGTGTCCCTGCATCTGGACAATGAGCAGCCTCCCCTCAATGCAGAAGGGACACCCTCCCTTCCCAAAGGAGCCTGAATCCAGAGGGTCCCGTGTCTCAGTTCTCATCCCCGGAACAGAGCTCAGTTCTCCAGCCCATCCTGCAGCCCAGAGCAGCCCCGGGGAGGTGCAGGATGGCTCAGCCTTCAAACTGGAGAAAACAGGACGTCCCTTTCTCCCTGGCCTCCCTCCAGGTTGCCAAACACGCAGTTCAAAGGCGCCGGGACCCGTGTGGAACGTCCCACGTGGCGGCTCCATGAAGAGAGGGGGCCGATGTGCCGCGTCAGCCGCATGCCTGGGTGCTGACCACGCTCAGCGCCCGCAGATCAGACGCCCCAGATTGAGTCACTCTGACGTCTCCAGACGAGATGTGCAGATTATCCCCAACCTGGAGTCGGGCTCAGCCTCCTCCGGGTGAGACTCGGCCCCAAACCCGGGCTCCGGCCGGTCCCTCCGAGCTCTTGTTCGAGGGGCTGAGCACGGGGAGATCGGGGACGGGGGGAAATGGGAACTCGGCAGGAAACGTGGATGGACGACGAGCCGGGCTTGGGCTCCACATCCCGCAGAGCCAAGAGCTCCTGCCATGGATCTCACACGGAAAAGCTGCTGCAGCGGCTCCTCAAAGCGGCTCTGACGCCGTTTGTGCCAGGTTTTGGAGCCGAGGAGAAACACGGAGTTAAAATTAGGCACTGAAGCAGGTGATTAAGCACCAAAACAGGTGATTAAGCACCAAAACAGGTGACTCCTGCCCCAAGCCAAACACCAAAGTGCTCCTGGCTCAGCACCAGCTTCTCTGAGCCTTCTCAGCGTCTTATGTTTGGGCCAAACCCAGCCCTGTTCCCCAGCCCTGGCACTCTTGGGCTTCCAAAGGGAGAAGAATTCCCTCTTCCAGGAGTAGGATTCCCTCTTCCATGAGCTCTGTAGCCGTTCTCCGTTGCCTTTCCCAGACTTCTCCTTCAGTCTGCAGCTTCCTGACCCGCTCTGGGGACACCGGCAGCTCCAGGGGCTGTTGTGGGACTTCCGATCCACCCCGACAGCGTTTTCTGCCTCTTTGATCTCTCCCTGTGGCGGAGGAACCACAGCACAGCTCAGATCAAACACACCAACACTCCCCTCCCAAAGCCCCTGTGGAGCTGCTCCAAATCTCTGCCTCCTGCTCCGGGAGGGAGGAAGAGCCACTGGGGGAGTTCCTCGGCTTTCCCGGGAGCTGATGGGGCCTGGGCTCCGGGCTTTGGGATGAATCACCCCTTCCCAGCCCGCCGCGTTCCCACGGCCGGAATCTCGGCTCTTCCCAGGGAGTCTGTGGGTGACTGAGCCAGCCGAGTGCCGGGGCAGGTGCTTGGCCAACACCCATGTCCATGTTCTGCTGCTCTCCCACCGCTGCCCACGGGACACCACGGCCCTCCCTCTCCTCCAGCACAGACCAAAGTCTCCTCCACCTGGGGCTGATCCAAGGGGGGTGTCAGGAGCAGGGATTTAACTGTGTTGGAGGGACCAAGGGCTGTGACAAATTCCTTCTAGGGGAAGGGGTCCCTGCCCGTGGCAGGGGGTTGGATTGGGGTGATCTTTAGTGTCCTTTCCAACCCAAACCATTCCATGATCCAATGACTCCGGGTCTCTTCCAGCCCCCCCCTCCTCCGGGGTGTGAGTTTGTGGCTCCAGGTGAGAGCCAAGAGGCATCACCTGAGCTTGGGCACTGCCCTGCTCCATCCCCGACCTCTGGAGTTCCCTCAAAGCCCCGGGACCACACCCTGGGCAGAAGAACCACCCCCACCCCCCCGCCCCGCCCTGGGGCCGCCCCCGAAGCCGCGACCCAACGAGCCGGTGAATGTGCTCTGCAGTTTATTGGGAACGGCAACATCCCGGGGGAGGAGAGCGGGGGGAGAGGCGGGAACAAATCCTTTGCCCCGTCCCGGGGGGAAGGGAGCTGAAGGACGAGTTTATTCCCCTCGGAGACGGTCCGGGGGTGTGCGAGGTGTCCCAGGGGTCACCGGGAGCGGGACGAGCGGAGCGGAAGCCGCAGCTCCGGGGAAGCCCCCGCGGGCAGCACAAGCTCCCGGCAGAGCGGAGGTGCCCAAAGCCCCACCCGGGGCCAGCCCGGCCCTCCGGCCGCTCGCCGAGCTGCCCCCTCCCCGAGGGACGAGTCCCGCCCCGAGGGGAACAGCGGGAGGGACCCCACGGGAAGCAGCCCCGGGACACGGGCCGGGAGGAGAGAGCGGGCAGGAGGAGTTTTATACACGAGAAATGTCCAACCCGGCGAGGGGGGGCAGCTCCCCGTGCCGGGACCCCGCCGGCATCGCCCCCGGACCCCGCGCGGCACCGGGAGCGGGGCCGGGCCGGGCGGGGGGGACGCGGCTCGTCCCGCGGCGGGGCGGCCGAGCTGGGGGTCGGGGGGCTGGGGCTGCTGCCGGCGGGACGGAGGAGCTGCTGCTCGGCGGGGCTCAGAACCGCACCCCCGAGGACTTCACCGAGGTGGTGGTGACGCATCTCCGCACCGAGGACGAGCCCCCGCCGGAGCCGCAAATCCTCCCGCTGCCGGAGGAGAAGCCCCCGCCGTACACCCCTCCGCCCAGCCCGCAGCTGCCGCCCGCGCTGCCGCCGCCGAAGCTGCTGCCTCCGCCGCCGCACACCCCTCCTCCCCTCCCGCTGCCGCCGAATCCTCCCCCTATCCCGCTGCCGCCGAATCCTCCTCCCCGGCCGCTGCCTCCGAATCCTCCTCCGATCCCGCTGCCGCCGAATCCTCCTCCCACCCCGCCGACTCTGCCTCCGCTCACGGTGGTGGTCCTGCCGACCACGGCTGGAAGAGAAGCGCAGGTTACGTTCCCGTTGCCCAGTCCCGGGCTCTGTCTCCCAAAAACCCCGGTCTGAAGCTGTTTTTGAGGGTTCCCAAGGGCAGATACTCACAGACGTTGACGTTGGACATGCTGTCGTTGCAGAGCCTGCGGGGGAAATTGGAACAGTTTAATCACCCGATAAAAGAGAGGTCGTGAAAACTTCAAACCGCGGGTTTGTTATCACATCGTTGTCCTGGTTCATCCCTCTGAGCCACCTGGGAATCACTACAAGATCTCAGGAGGAGGTTGGCAATTCCTCTGTACGATGAGGTTTGAGGTTCATTAAAAGTGGGCACCTGACAGTGGTGATGTGGCAGTTCCACCACCTGTGATGAGCCAGGTCTGGGTCCTGAACCAAAAAACACACCCCCAGAGCACCAATCCCAATATTTACCCCTTTTATCCCAAATCCTCTTTATGATCAGGTTCCTTCAGGTTTGAGGTTCCTCCAGTTTGGAGGTTCCTACACAACTGAGGTTCACTAAAAGTGGGCACCTGCCAGTGATGGAGTGGCAGTTCCACCACCTTTAGCGATCCAGTTACGGGTCCTGACCCCTCAACACATACCCCAGAGCACCAATCCCAACACCCACCCTTTCTATCCCAACCCCTCTTTGGATGAGGTTCCTCCAGTTTGGAGGTTCCTCCAGGTTTGAGGTTCCTCCAGGTTTGAGGTTCACTGAAATTGGGCACCTGCCAGTGATGGAGTGGCAGTTCCACCACCTTTAGCGATCCAGTTATGGGTCCTGACCCCTCAAAACATCCCCCAGAGCACCAATCCCGACATCCACCCCCTTTATCCCAAAGAACTGGTCCGGGATTGCAGAGCCCACGCTCCGGGTGTCCATCCCATCCCATCCCATCCCCAGACAGAGTCTCACCTGTTCTCCTCCCCCTCCAGCAACTTCCTGTACATGGCGATCTCCACGTCCAGCGCGATCTTGACGTTCAGCAGCTCCTGGTACTCCTTCAGCAGCCGGGCCAGCTCCTCCTTGTCCTTGCTCAGGGCTGCCTCCAGCTCCTCCAGCTTTATCCGGGCGTCCTTGAGGGCCATCTCCCCCCTCTCCTCGGCCTCGGCGATGGCCGACTGGAGATGCTGGTTCTGGGGGGACAACGGGAGGTGTCTCGGACCTTGTTTTGTCACTCAGGGTCAGCCCTCGGACCCCCGAGTGGAGAAATCAAGGGGAAATGTCCAAGATTCACAGAATGCTCGGAGTTGGAAGGGACCCACAAGGATCATCGAGTCCAACTCTTAAGTGGAATGGTCCAGATGGGAATCAAATCCTCATCCTCAGTGTTGCTACATGAACTTGGGTTGATTGGAGGTTTCTGGCCCAGTCCTGGTCATTCATGATCCAACCTGCTGCCACCATCCCCCTGAGACAGCACCCGACCCCCACCTGCTCCTTCACGTCCTTGATCTCATCCCCGAGACACCAACCGACCTCTACCTTCTTCTTCCCATTCTTGACCTCATCCCCCAGACACCACCCAACCCTTTATGTGCTCCTTCACTTCCTCAATCTCATCCCCGAGACACCAACCAACCCTTCCCTGCTCCTTCACCTCCTCAATCTCATCCCCCAGACACCAACCAACCCTTCCCTGCTCCTTCACCTCCTCAATCTCATCCCCCAGACACCACCCAGCCCTTTATGTGCTTGTTCACCTCCTCAATCTCATCCCCGAGACACCACCCAACCCTTCCCTGCTCCTTCACCTCCTCAATCTCATCCCCCAGACACCACCCAACCCTTCCCTGCTCCTTCACCTCCTCAGTCTCATCCCCGAGACACCA